CGCACACGTCACGCATCTCGGTCATTTTAGCGTGAAGGATCAGTTCCAACGACAGCTAATGACGAGAAGCTCTGGCTTTAACTTCTGTCTGATATTCATCACAGATCCAGCCCCCGCACAGGATGAACCTCTTCAGATGGACTCTGAGTGACGTTATGGCCTTGTCCCTCCCTGGTGCCTGATCATATGTCTCAAGACAAGCCCTCTTGACGCAACACCTTGACAATCAAAATTTGGCATCAATGTGAATGGCAATGTACTCTCTGGTTTCTCCCACCTGTAGTTTCAGTTAATTTGGTCCCAAAAACCTAGGGTTGACTGGAATTACTACGGGCTGCGGTTGTATGCCTCAGGGACCTTTTTCAAATGGAGTAGGCTCTAGACGGCCGATTCGAGTCTCCCCGCTCGTATAGCAAATTATTTATAGAGCGGCCGCCGAACAACGAGCTGACCCCAAGCGACGGAAAGAAGGGGCTGACGGGGATGGGGTGGCGCTAACGAAAGGAAGAGAGAAGGACAAGACAGAAGATAAAGGTGCACCGAGCAAACAACAATCAGAAGCCAACCAACTAAAACTCCCACGCTAGCTGGCAACAGTAACTGATCCGAGTGATGACGACAAACGCCAGCACCGATGGGGAATAAGTAATCAATCGCCAATGCAGTCCAATAAGGCCACCGCGGCCGCTTTCAGCGGCGCAGAAGCTCCAAATCAATACAGGAGAAAGAGAGAAGAAGAAGAGAAGAAGAGGAAGAATCGGAAGTGCAAGCAGGACCCCCACAACAGGCAGCAGGCACAACCCGCCCCGATCCATGAGGAACCCTGTGAAGGACAATCAAGTCCAACCAAATCCTGGAGAAGAAGTTGAGAGGTTAGTAACCATGCGGCATTAATGGACCATGAATGTGAGGCCCTATAACCAGCATAACTAATGGCATGGTTTGACCAGCCCCGGACTGGCCAGCTGTAAGCCGAGCCCTAACCAAGGTCAACAGCGCACACTTGTATCAAAGAGAGACCGTCGTTAAGGCTACTGCTTAAATGGTGCGCAGGAGGGTCGCTCTGCCTCCCGAACCAAACTGGGAGAGCTGGTTCCACAGGAGAGGAGCTTGGTAACTGAAGGCTCTGGCTCCTGTTCTACTTTTAGAGACTATAGGAACCACAAGTAGCCCTGCATTCAGAGAACGCAGTGTTCTAGTGGGGTAATAGGGTACTATGAGCTCTTTAAGATATGAAGATGCCTGACCATGTAGAGCTTTGTAGGTGCGGAGGAGGATTTTAAATTGCAATGCAGAGAAGCTAACAGGAGAAATATAATTTTCCTAGTTCCAGTACTGTCAGTACTTGTGCCGCAGCATTCTGAATCAGTTGTAGCGTCTTAATGGACTTATTGGGGCAGACTGATAATAAGGAATTGTAGTAAGTTGAGTCGTAGGCACGATGATTTTGTTACTTCTAGGCTGATTACTGACAAT